GGATTCAAACTGCCGATCTTTTGGTTAGCAGCCACAGCTCTTAACCACTGCACCACCAGGGCGCCTTAGTAAATTCTTTCTTGCTTAAACCAATTAGAATGGATTGTGTTGTCTGCAAATAAGTATACTGACCATGGATCCCTATTTGACATCTGAGTTACATTTTTGGTAGCTTCAAGGTATATCACCAAGTATTTCAGATCATTTATTGTTACTCAAACTAGGATAAATTTATGTGTCTACCATGACAATAAAACTACTAGGTATACAGTGCCAGGGCATACAGATAGACTTGGCATAAGGTATGATGGTCCTTAGATACCTCCTCTAAGTTCTGGGTGAGGTACGAAAAGTTATCTAAAGTTTTCATTATAGCCTTTGTAGAGATGAGCCACTAGAAATTAGATCTTTCCAGTGGAGAACCAGGAATACATTTTGTGATGTGAACGTATTTGAATGAGTATATTCCAATAAATTACTCATGAAGCTTCAAGCTGGAAAATGGTGTTAACCCAGTAGAACCACAATTTCTTAAGAAATTGGTGGCTTTCCTGGAAAGACAAGAGGTCTGTGGCAGACATTAGGCTTCACTTGATGAGACAGAGTTTACTGAAGACTAGACTATTGCTGCTGTAGGACCAACTACCAAGCAGACCCTAAAACTGATGCAGAAGGGAACATGTTACCAGAAACAAGAGACATTTACAGTGCCAATGACTGAAGATACACCATGGTGTGGCTTTGAGGAAGACAAGTAACGGAGATTAGGAGAAAGTTTGCAATGTCTTGTGTTAGAAACCATATCTGGGTTTAATACTGCAATTTGCTCCTTCTCTATGAAGTCGTGTCTCTCAGATTTCTCACAAGTATTTGGTAATGCTAACAATCAGAGAGACTTGTATGTTAGGTTTCTGACTACACAAAAGCCAAAAGGAAGGGAAGGCTTCTATACATGTGTTGAGATTAGAGAAATTTATCCAGTGAATAACCAAAAGTGACAAGGGGATGGCTGGCTAGAGGATGGCATTGTAGGAGAATCTATAATGAAGTTTTACTGAAGAGTCCTGGACTTCACCATGTAGCCCTTCAAATTATTGTTCTTGGTGAAGCTATTTGAGGAGAATAAAGAATATGGTGGCAATATTTGTCAAGTAGATCAAAATGACTGGGTTGGAGTGGTAGATATCAGTTCAGGTTTAGGGATTGGTAAGTAAAGTAGTTATGGTGAGCCCCTAATATTAGGCTTCTACAAAGCAAGGTTCTGGGTGGAGGGAAAAACAGCTCACCAACTCTAGCCACAGAGGAATCCTTAGACCAAATCTGTAAATATTGTCATACACACTGCCAACTAATTAATATTTTGGTACATGAGGGGGTGATGCAGAGAGTTGTTGCATACACAACAAATATTACCACTCATCACTTGATACCTAGCAAATCCTGAAGAAGGCACAGGAAGGGGACTATGAAGATGTAGGGTTCAAAAATTACTGAACACAGAGGGTGGATTTGATCATACTAGGCTATGAAAGTGAGGTTCAGACAAAGTCTAATGCAATTAATATCTGAGTTACATAAAGATGAACATTTCAAGAAATGTTGGACCAGAATATTCAGTGACAAGGGTGCCATTCGTCAGTGGTGTATGGGGGTGGGGGTCAGTTTTGGGCAGAAATTCAAATGATCCCTCTCAGGCTCTGTGAGTCTGTAATACCATGTATTAGTCAAGCCTCAGCAGGGATTCATCTGAGGTTCTTCCTCTTCTCAGTCATTGTGACTTCACCACCTCCCAAGCCACAAGCAGAGCAAACTCAACAGAGCCATCATTATGAGCCATGTATGGAGATGTAATTAACAAATTCCCAGAACATTCAAAACAAGCACTTCTCTGTCTCTCTGTTCACCCGGTCTTCATGAATCTGATTAGTAAACTCTTCCTTGGCCTTTTCCAACTACTTTGAAATTTACTCTCTCCGGAAGAGAACAATCTCTTCTTCAGATTCTGTCATGGATTGAATTGTGTTCCCCAAAAATATGTGTATCAATTTGGTTAGACCATGATTCCCAGAATTGTGTGGTTGTTCTCCATTTTGTGATTGATGTAATTTTCCTATGTGTTGTAAATCCTAATCTCTGCCTGAAGTTAATGAAGCAGGATTGGGTTATGTTGAAGAGGATTAGGGTGGGATGTAACACCCTTTCTCAGATCACATCCCTTATCCAATGTAAAGGGAGTTTCCCTTGGGTGTGGCCTGCATCACCCTTTAGCTTACAAGAGATAAAAGGAGAGAGGAAGGAGCAGAGAGTTGGGGACCTAGTACCACCAAAAAAGCAAAGCCGGGAGCAGACCACATCCTTTGGACCTGAGACCCCTGTGCAGAGAAGCTCCTAGTCCAGACTTTTTATGGCAAGCGTGTGCAAAATAAGTCAAAATATTTTAAGCAGGCAATCCCACCAAATGTATATTCATTAAACTGTAAATCGTATGCTTTAAATAGCAAATTGTACATTTTAAAGCATACACCAAATAATAAAATCTTTAGAAGGATGAGATAAAGATGACTTAAACAATTTTTTAATATCTCGCAGTTCCTGATGGCTTCCTATACCATTAACTAATACCTTGAGGCTCAATATGCATTTAGACCCAGAGTTCTTGGGATGGTTAATGTTATCTCTCAACTTAGCTGGGTTATGATTCTCAGTGGTTTGGCAGACACTATGTTATCACCTTCCATTTTGTGATCTGATGTGTGCAGCCAATCAGTTGAAAGGGGAGTTTCCTTGGGAGTGGGGCCTGTCTCCAGTATATAAACAGCTATTCTGTCAAAGTTCACTCTTTCTAGTCCCTGCATTCTTCTCATTCCCTGACCTCTGGTTTTTGGTATATAGGCCTTCAGAAGTCTCTGGCCTGCCTCCTGATGTGAAGATTTTGGATTCATCAGCCCCTGCAACAACATGAGCCAGTAGAGGAACTCAGCCTTTCATCTGACCCACGTATTTCTGACTTGTCATGTACCACAATTATGTGAGCCGTTTCCTTAAAGTAAATTTCTCTCAATAAATATTTGTATATGCTTCACTGGCTTTGCTCATCCAGAGAACTAAGACCGTTCTCATTAACAACACTGGAGGCATCTCCATATTTCATACAGTCTTCTTCAACGTTTTGGATTTTTGGCATGTTTCTTGTCTGATTTAACTGGACCATCTGTTTTACTTCATTATGTGCTGATGAAGAGCTTGTATCAGCTGTGGGAGAAGATGTCTTTTTCTTCTTTGTTTGCATGATATATGCTGTCTTCCATTTATGACTGCTGGGAAGAAATATCTGAAACAACTCAACCACTATAGGTGAGTGTTAGTTCAGTGGTATCTACTCCCACTAGGCAGCAGGCAGATGAAATTGAGCCAGCGAGCGAGACTGCCTCCTAATCTTCTCTTGAGGCTGTTCACATATGCACAACTGTCTGACACAGACCAGGTCAGGGTGCAGGGGAAAATCTGAATATTAAAAATCAGGAAGGGTTTCTTTCTTCCTTACTGTAACTAAAAATATAAATAAACATCCTTCTATTTTTTCTTGTACCACAATGAATCGTCACACATTAACCCACTCTGCGACCACTACTTTGTGCAGAAAGATAACTTTTATTATTAGTTTTATGTTATCTTAAAATGCATGGAAAAACATACCCAGAAGAAGTATACAAGAATATTTATGGCACTTACATTTGGATATGTGATTACAAGTCATTTTTATTCCCCTGTATAATTTTTTGTGTTTTCTAAATTTTATATAATCAGCATGGATTATTTTTATCATCAGAAAAATAATTCATCTTTTTTTAAATTTATATTCCTTGGAGCCTATCAGCATGTTTCATGCTTTTTTTATATACTAGTCTGGATTTACATCTAGTGCAGTGGGAGATTTGAGGAGGGGAGAGTGGTTTGGGCGGGGTTAGGAGGCGAGGCCTGGGAGGAGCTGCAATGTTATTGTGTTTCAGGCAGTATGGACTCCTTACTCACCAGATGGTACTTCACCCAGATCCTGATGCTCAAATTCAGCCTCATTCTTGGTGAGTAGTGTAAGAGGTGGGGCTGCTCCAGGTGAGCCTGGCAGGAGGTAGAGGTGTTGGGCGTGAGGGAGACAGGCAGGCAGCTGTGGTATCAACATCCATGGTAGAAATATCCTGATTCCTCAAGCGTCTTTGTGAGTGAGGGTGGGTGAGAAAGAGGAACAGGGTGTTTCTGGGAGGACTTCAGGTTATCAGCCCTCAGCATAGGACAATTACCAACACATCCCTCTTTCACAAGACAGCCTTTTCTCCTGCTTGCGCGGCTGCTGCAGCTGTGAGCAACCTGAGAGCTGTGTAGCGGCCTCCAGTTTCCTGTGGCTCTGCCAGAGACAATCTGAGGCTGTTCCTCCATCTCCTGCTCACCCCCATCCTTCTTCCTTCCACTATTAGCCGGCTGAGGAGGGGCATGTGTGGTGAGAGAAGGACCAGGGCCAGTGGCATCACTAGAGTTGGTGACACCCAGTGCGGTAACTCATGGTGTCACCCCCTTCCCCCATGGACCTCCTCCTGCTCCAGACCATACAGGATCCATAGTAAAGTTTAATATCAATTTTAAATATAGAATAGTATGTAATAAATATAGTTGTACATTGCTTAAATATAATATTTCTTAGATTATATGAATCCTAACAACAAATTGTTTTATAAAATCTTTCTACATTGAATTATAACATCACGTAACTGAGCTGAAGCTGTTTTTCTTTCCCTTTAATTACTACTTCATTCTCAAAAAAATCTATTGACATAGCTTCACAAATACTACTTGTCACAATATTATACCTCAAACACCAGAAACTTTGACAAGATCAGCTACTATAAAAACACCGGCAGGAACAAAAATAACAGCATGTTCTTTTAGTGTGTGCAGACCAAATCACATGTTTAGAGGGTCATTGTAATGGGTAATAATGACAACTCTGACAGAGTGCATTAGAAGGTTCAAAAAGCAAATTAGCATAGAATTTTAGCCTTGTAGGTATAGTAATATATATAACTGGGCTTATGAAAAATGTTTTTGTTGTTATAACTAACTACAGGGATATTTTAATAAAAAAATAATAATTTTCTGCTGAAACAATGCACAAAAATTTTATAGACAGTCATTTCGGTGTCACCCCTTCCGACAGTGTCAACTAGTGCAGACTGCATCCCCCCCACACACAACCCTAGCAACGTCACTGGCCTTAGGTGAACTGTAGAACCATCCACAGAGGTGGAGAAGGAAGGGGAAGCAGGACTCTCCTCTCTCATCTGCTGGTGACCTTCATGTGTGGTTACAAGCTGCTTCCAAGTGTACAATGATAGTAGTGATCATTGGGGGGATGTATAACAGTGGATTCTGCTTGGTGTGAACCGGGCTCCGGTTCTGTGTCCTGGCCCTCTGCCTGGTCCACAAAACCTCGTTATGATCAAAAGAGGGACTGAGCTCTGCCCTCAGACCCACTGGTCCTCAATTCTGGTTCTGCCACTTACTAGCCATCAAATCTTGGGCAAATTGTGTATACCCTGGGGCGCAGACCTCACTGACCCTTGTTTCTCTCCCATAAAATGGATATAATAACACCTAACCTGAGGTGTTATTTGGGAGAGTAAATGAAATGGAGCCCATTCTTACCAGTGTTTGGCACAGGGACACAAATTACTTTTTTATGCAGTAATATGTTACTTAACTATTTTGATGAAAAATTT